CTACACAAACACACACACTCATGCACATATTAGATTTATAAAGTATTTTATAATAAAGTGAATACAAAAATTTTTTTTTAGAAAAGAGACAGCTCCTTACAATTTTAAGAAAATGAATCTAATATAACTGAAATTATTTCAAATAGTAAAAAGTTCCCTAATACATAAAAGTTTCAGTTCTGATATGAGAAGTCTAATATCCATTGGGTGGACCACTGTCCTCTATTTATAACCATAAAGATAAATGGTGTTAAATAATTCTCCAGAGGTATACCATAGATGTGTATATGATTTTTATTTATTTGCTTCCTTCTACAAAGAAGGCTCAAGATGAAAACCAAGTGCAAAGATCACTCACTCTAGCAATCTCCAGATGAACCATCCACAAAATGGAAAGAGATTTCCCCATGCTTTGCCGAAGATTTCTAATAAAAATCTACTATTGGGCTGGGGATTTAGCTCAGTAGTTCCACCGCCTGCCTCGCAAGCACAAGGTCCAGAGTTCGATCTCCAGTACCCAAAAAAAAAAAAAAAAAAAAAGTTCATAAAAATCTATTATTACCAAGGCCTCATGCAGGATACTGAGCAGGTCTGAGTCACAATCTGTGGCAGGATTTCTCAGCCTCAGCTTTGCTGACGCTTGGGATCACACGATTATATGTTAGTTGCCCTGTGTACTGGAGGTTGTTTAACAGAATCCCTGGCCTCGATACCTGTCCCTCATGTGTGACAATCAAAAATATTCCCAGACATTACTGGGCCGAGGGATAAAGCTATTCCTAGTTGAGAACAATTGTACCTGGTGGCTGGACTCTAGAAATACACATATGAAAAAAGTACTGATTTCAGGTGTTTTACACTTCAGGGTAAATCAATTTGGTCCAGCATAGTTTGTTTTTATCTCTTTGAATACTACATAGTTACATGAATATGGAAATAAGATCATTTATGAATATATTTCTACTTGAGAAAACAACATGGCTCTTTCCTTTTCTTCATGTTTTCATCCAATTAGTCAATAATAAAATTGATTAGCCAGTATGTCAACACACAATAAAATTTCAAAGAAATTGCATTTTTTTCACTGAGGTCCATGTTACCAATCCCAGGATATCTTTTGATAATTTATGAGTTCTTTAGCATTGAATATAGGCAGTCACTCCTTCCTCCTGAATATACTATCTTCTTATACCTTCCTTAAAACTTACAACTTCCTGGTATTCCCTTTTCTCTAACTACTAATCCTCTACCTCTTGTACTGGCTGCTTTTCCTCTACTCATTTTCTGAATTTTGGAATTACTCAGGGTTGAGTGTGAGGCCCTAAGCTTCTCACATCATACTGTCTCCAGGGTGATCATATTCACGGTTTTACATACCACCTACAGGCCATCAGCTGCTGACTTGATGTATTTCCTTTCAGGTTTCGAAAGTGTTTCATTTGAGATGTCCAAGCCTGTTCTTCTTCCAGTTTCCCCAACTTTCATATGTGCCATCTCTCTCGATCCAGGTGCCTGTGCCACATGATTAAGTGACACCTTCCTCACCTTCACCTTCAGATTCAGGTCTTTATCAAGTCCTGATGATTATACGGGTTTTTCTCATTCTGTCCACTACCCTTATCCTCGAGGCCATAAGTCATTCCAGGCCACCACAATTTCTGGGCTAAGCAACAGCTTTCAAAGCCATTCCCATGTCTACTTTTTCCATGCAACTTCCTTAATGAACTTTTCAATCATTTCCAATTGCACCTGAACAACATGCATCACCCTAACATGACCTAGTTGGTCCCGCACTATCTGGACTCCTCCCACACCTCCAAGTAACTTTCTTCCTTTTCACGTGTTTCAACTGGCCTTCACTCTTTCTCGAAGAGGCCATTACATTTTAAAATTTATCCCATGTTTTTATAAAACATTTAATCTCCAAAAAACAATGAGATAAAATATTGTCAAATGTTAGATTAGGATAGAAAAGAAGGATTTGGAAACATGAGAGAACTGGAACCAGGTAATCCACCAGGTGACTAAGCTCATCAGAAGTCACATTAGTGCACAAAGAGGTAGACTTTGACAAGGTAAATGGCACTTTGACTCTGTCTCTAAACACAGGCAGAGCATTTCCCAACCTCAAACCCTGTATATGAGTTGTAAATGATACGTTCTTATAAAACAAAGGCATTGGAGGGAAAAGAAAAAAAAGCAAACAGAGATGGATGGAATAATTCCAGAAAACAATTGGCAGTCGCCAATCCTTAAGAGCCTCTGCTTTCTCAAAGGTCTAAGCATCCAAGGATGCTTTATAACAACCCTTGTCACTTCACTCGCTCTCCTACCAGCAGTTCTAACTCTTTTATCTCTCTCCTCAACAAAAAAGAAAACATGGCTTCAAATCTCTTCCAATAGTCTCATAGGTACAGCTTGCCTGATGCTATCAACGTGACAAAAGTACTGCAGACAATGAAGGAAAAACAAAGTAAAAATGAAAGACTGTAGGTCGCCTGGTAAAAGACAAGTCAATCACTGTATATCTGTTTGCATTTTTCAGTTGCAAATTTCAGGCAGTATCCCCTTTACTGAAGGCAAGATTTTTAAAAAGCACCATTACTCCGTTGGAAGAGAAAAAAAAATTCTCCGAAGTTGTGAAATTAACCTCTCCCTTCATTCACACATTCAGTTCTATTTTTGCAGTTGCACCAGTAATCTAAAAGAAAAAGCACTGAAAGTCAATTCCAGGTTTCTAAAATGTCTGACTGTGCATGTCCCAGTTCTCTTCAGCACCTCCCTGAAGATCCAGCCAATTTTTATTTCTGCAGTGCATCAGTGTTTATCATTTGTTTTACAACAGCACTGCGTGTTCTCAAAAATTGACTTAGATAAATTTCACCCATCTTCTACAAAACCCAAGAGAGACAAATGGCCTTAAAAATAAAACCTACCACTGAGGCATGGTTAATTTACTAAAAAGCACTTCTTTTTTTATTTACTTCATTATAGTAGTTACTCCACCCCCACCAGCCTCTGGATTTGTAAAGATTTATGACAAATTTCTAGCTTGTAATTAGGCATTATGAAAATTCACTGTGGGGAAACTAAACAAAAGCCTTCCATACAGTTTGCTTTGAAGGAATACTGATACCTTTCAACTTTATGAAGGCTAAGAGCAAAAACATGGATACATTTTGATTGCACATGTTGGAAAACATCTATTTCCTCTTAGACAGATGCACTAAGAAGTCACTGAGTCTGACCAATTTGCAACAAAATCCTGGCTGCCTCATGTTAGCTGAGTACTCAAAGGCAAGTTCGTTAACCTCTCTGTGCTTCAGTTTTCTTATTTATAAAATGAGATATTAATAATAAGTATCACAGAGATGTTTGGAGGATTAAACAAGAAAGCCACACAGTGCAATGCCAGGCACCCGGTGAATGCTCAATAAATGGCAGCTATTACCATTTGGTTAATATCATAAAGGAACAGAGTAGGGAAGACCTTTCCCTCCCCATCTGTTGCCAGCCTCAGAAATCTACCAATTTCATTATTAGTGAAAAGGTTATCCATAAAACTTGCAGCTTAGGAGATCTCTACTTCGGAGAGGAAAGGACAGGAGCTGGAACGTGAGAAGCCTCCCGGGTCCAACAGAGCTGCCTACACTCAAGTACAACACCTCCCACGGGCCTTACAGGAGCCTCAGCCTCAGATCAGCTCTCTTAGCTCTGTGAGCTTGGACAAATCTCTACTCCTCTCAAAGGGAAAGGGTGGCTAAGGCAAGCTCCGACAGAGAGAAGTAATTCAGAGCTGAGGGAAGAGGCAAAGTAGGGAGTTGTCAGGGGTCCAGGACAAACAAGAGATCTAGACTTTACTCAGTGTCTTGTCACCAAATAACCATAAGAAAGGCACTGGTCAGAAGGCAACCAAGTGTGCTCAGACATGACACCTGGTTTTTTGTTTGAACAGTTCTTCCCCCCACTACCAATAATTTAGCCAACAAGTGTGCAGCTGACATACAATGAGCACTCTCTCTCTGTTCCCAGTGACCTTCAAATTCTTTGTCTGCACTAATTCATTACACTTCACCCCCAGGCTTTCAGTATTATCTTCATTTCCAGGTGAAGAAACTGAGAAACAAAACAGTTAAGAAATTTCCTCAATGACATTCTATTGCATTGGATCCAAAATTTTGACCCCCAAACCATGTAGGTCCAAAATCCACAATCTTAAACTCATATCCCACATTCCTGGTCCCAGTCGGAAAACAACCACTGGAAACTCTCGCTTTCTATGATTCATAATTCAATATTCCGTAATAATATTTCTCTAAAACTTAAATTACTGCACTGGTATGATCCTTTGGGGGATTTTGGTCTTCTCTCATTTAATGTTCACAATGGGCACATGTCAAAATACTGCAATTCAGCAAGACGGAAAAGGCAAGCATGCACCACACAGGTGTGGATGAAGCAACCTGGGTCCTGAGTTATAATTCAGGAGGCTGCGTGAAAGGTGCAAGGAGAATCCACACACTATTTCCACTATTTATGTTTGTGCTTGAAATTTTCCACAGTAACAAAAATTAAAAGCAACAAAAATTTCATAAGGAAGATAACTGAAGACCTTCAGTTGGTTCAGGATCCAGAGGAACACTCAAGTTTGGTAGAGAGTGCCTCTGTTGACAGCATTAAATTTCAGAACCGACAGAACAGGAACTTCTTAGTAAAAGATTTTTTACTAATTCCTGAATCTCCCCCGCCAACAAATATTTTCATCTTCTCTATTTGGAACAATAAAGACATTTCCAGAGTTTAAATTTCTGCTCACTGTAGGTTTTGGTCTTGTAATTGCTACTGCTGCTGATTGAAAAACCTTTTGTTTCCCTCTCCATAACTGGTTTATCTTTTCACGGCCCAAAATTCAGGAAAGATTATTTGCATAGTTGAACTTAAAAAACCACCCCGATCTCCCTTTCACAGTTCTCTTAAGAGTTTAAAAGAAAGACACTTACCCATTCTGTTGTGTAGTCCCTCCTTGCCAAAGTGTGCTGTGGTTTCAAAAACTAGCCAGTCCTTCTGAACTTTTCTGTATCCGTTATAATATTAAAAGGCCACAAGGAAGGGAAGTGGTTAGTCAACTTGCTAATTTTATCAGTCCCTCCCACTGGTTAAATAGTACCTGATGCTACAGACACAAAATCAGTTTTCCAGCTCATTTCTCTACTACAGCACAACTTCATAAAAATACCATAATTAGGAGGCAAAAAAGGGAAAAATGCCTATGTCAGGTTTGTAGGCACGAGACGGTTAATGAATGAACATCTTATTACTATTAATAAGAAGTCTAATAGACTACAGAAGTCAGCAATTCAAAAAAAAACGAGTAGGAAGAGAAGGAGGAGCGAGAATGTCTGTCAGCTCCACACTCTAAGCACTCCCTTTGGGTGGGAAAGGGAGTGATTTCTAATGCAATCAGAGTACGTGTGGGAAGTGGCTGGTGTTTCATTTGTTGATAAATTATTCTGCCCTGGAATGAAGCCAGTTTACTGGATATAGAAACGTCCACAACTTGGGGCTCTGGCTCAGACCACTGTCTTCCTTTGGAGCTTAGTAATTAAAGCACAGGACAAAGTAACAAATATGTGTGTCTGCATAAGGGAAAATTAAATATTCCCTGAAGAAGCAGCTATGAGCTGTGTCCTAGATATAAAGCTTTGCAACAAATGAGAAGAAAATACAGAGCCAGAGACAGATTTCAATGAAATAAAATGCTTTTGATGTTTCCATCCAACTCTGAAAGACTGCAACATATATAAAACATTGTCACCCCAGATCGCCAGATCAGGCAATTTTCTGAGCTACTTAAATGGGTGGCATTTCAGTTAAATCCCCAGTACTCACTTTGAAGTATATTTCCCACCATATCTAAGGATTATGGAATGAGAAAAAAAGAATGTCTGAAAACCAAATCATTTTGAAGGCTCATTTACCCTTGCTTTTGATTGGCATAGGAAATGTTTCTTCAGAAAAATTCTGACAGTCATATTATATTCACATGTGGTGACAGTTTCTCAGAAAGAGTTAAGTTTGGTAAGCTAAAGCAAGCTAAGGAAACGAGCAATTCTCTCCTGTTACCCCTCCCTTCTTAGTATTCCCCCAATTCAGATCACTCACCTAATAAAACAAGAAAAGAAAAAACTCTAAAGAATGATTGTGTTTATTTTTCACTTCTATCGGTCTGTTTTCTAATTAGATTTTTTAAAATGTATTATACTGAAGTGAAATATAAACAACACCTAACTCTAAGACGCCACCCACTATTCCTCCCAAAGAGCAACAAATGCACAGTTCTAAGCACATTTGGGTGACTTACCTTTGGCTGAGTTCAAGGTGAGAACAAATTCCTAAAACCAACAATTCACAATTGTGACCCTGGGGCTTTAATTCCTCTCACTTATATCTGTGCACTTTTGTATCTTCAGGAAAGGAAGGGAAAAAGATACAGAGTTCTAGGGAAGAAAGAAGGGAAGGAAAAGCAAAATGGAGAGATGAGAACCTCCCCTCACCATCTCCTCCTCTAGCTCTTCACATTCTCCCCAAGCTTCCAGGCCCAGCGGCACCTCTTCAGCCTCTTCCAGAAGCTTCTTCCCCCCTCGCTCCTGACAAAAATCCTACAGCATATATGCTTCACCATCCTCTCAATTTAGTCATAAATTATTTCAAAGATATCTTTCTAGAAAACTGAAAGCCTCTTTAGAACTTAGTCTGTCCTTGATGCACACCTAGAACATTACACTGCCCGAACACAAGCCCCATTTTTGAAACAAGAGTTTTGTGAAGACTCTTTAACTCGCCTAAAATAAAATTCTGATTATACAATCAACTACTTACACAGCAGACTGTTAAAAAATCAATAAAATGTTCCCAGACATGAGTATTTACACATTTAAGAAATCTTATGGTTCTTGCCCTACCATCAGTGCATAAGTCTGAATTGTAGAGAGGTAAGAAGAAGCCAACCCTTGCAAGAAGGGTAAGAGACCACACCAAGCATAGTGGCACACATATAATCCCAGAACTCTGGGAGGCTGAGGTAGGAGAATTGCAAATTCAAGCCCAGCCTGGGCAATATAGTGACTTAGTGAGATCCTATTTAAAAAAAAAAAATTAAGGGCTGAAGATATAGCTTAGCATGAAAGCCCTAGGTCCGATCCTTAGTACCACACATGCACACTCACAAAGTAATGGCTGGAAGGATCTGAAAACTCCGTGGTTGAGTGAATATTAGGACAGAAATCTAGTATTAGAATGAAAACAAAAAAGCAGACTTACAGGCACATGATTAAAATAAAAGGGGAATAAAATAAATTGAAGTGCAGCTAACATGCCAAGGAAAATTACAGAATATAAAAGAGAATATGAAGAATAATTAATATTCCCTGTAGGATATAAGAATTATTCCTTATTCATAAAAGATTTTAAAGAAGACTCAATTTTCTAAACTGAACAAGGCATTCTGATAGGGCAGTGTTGTGGCAGTCCAAACAATGACCTATTTGTAGGAAGCCTTCACATAAGCAAAGAAAGTCTTATCAGAAATGATATGGTAGCCACAGCCCTAAGAAAGTCAATGACCACTAAACTTGAATTAAAATAGCTTTTTTTCTGTGCAACAGACTTTGGTGCTTGACTTAGATAATAATAAACGGATGTTTCACCTACGCATGTGTCCTGAAGGACGTCTGAGAATGCAGGGCACAAAAAAGATTGCTGCAGGGTCAGGACTGCCCCTCACGTTACAGGACCCCTCACCTGACCGAGCTCAGCCCACTGAACACCAGTACCACCCTCCAACCATCACAGCAAACAGAAAACACCCCAAAAATATCCCTCAGGGGTCAGGACAGCCTTGTGGAAAACTAGTACAAATCCCACGTGACAAAGGACTGTGAGAGTCAAGCAGGTGTTAAGAGTGGAGGAAAGAAGAGAAAGACTGTGTAGAAAGCAGGAAATAACGCTTCAACCAAGACAGGCATCCACACTTGTGAACAAGCAGGATTATATCCACCCCCACCCCCCAGCATCACACAACTTACCACAATTTTTTTTTTTTTTGCATGACTGGAGATTGAACCTAGAGCCTTCACACTGCGCTACAACCTCAACCCTTTTTTTATTTCAATACAGATCTCACTGATTTGCTAATCTGTCCCAGGTTGGGCATGAGCTTGCCATCTTCCTGCCTCAGCCTCTCACAGTGCTGAGATTATAGTTGTGTGTCATTCTTCATGCTTAAAAGACAAGGTGGACACCTGTATTTTTAGGTAAAATCTATTTTTTATTTAAAACTTTAGCAAACGCTTTTCAGACACTACAAAATTTTTCTTCTGGCTAACATAAGCTCTGCCTCAGACATGGGATGTTCGACTGAAAAACTTAATGACATTTAGAAAATATGTATGTCAAAGATATGGTACTTAGTGTAACAAGCAGATGACCAAGTACTTTGACCTCCTTTTCAGAAACAATTATGTGGGAATTATATGAAATGGACTTCAGAGTGCTAGGAAAATTCTACTAAGGTATCATTTTTTTCATGTTTCTTTTTACTCTTTAATGTATTCTAATTTTTCCAAAATGAATGTATAAAGTTTCACATAAAGAAATTACCCACAGAGAGTATATTCTGTTTTGTTCTGCTTTGTTTTTAATGATGGAAAGCTCTTGGAACACATTCAGAAAGGATCAGAGTTAAAATGGACAAACAAATGAAATTCCTTTCAAATATTCAGTTACACTGTATTTCAAGCACTGGTTAAAGACTAGGTGTAAAAGTTAAGCTGGTGCAAATCAAAAAAGGAATGTCCCCAGGTAATAAGATTCATTATTTCATGTTATAAATATCTAAATCACTATTTTATCTCCTTTTTCAGGTAACCAGAGTCCATATAGGCAAATCTGAGTGCACATCACAGAAAGCATTCGAGCAATTATGGGTTAATTTTAAAGGAATAAATAAATTTCCTCATGACCTTAATAATAATAAAAAAGTCAACCTTTAAAGTGAAGGTGTTTTGTAATTTCATTATTTTTTTCCTGTTTACAAAATTAATATTAGAAACTGAGTTGTGTTTGAATTCAGTAAACTTTTATTGACTTTCTCTAAGGCTTAGGAAATACTTTGTAAAATTTCCTTTAAAGGCCAGACTTATCCTTCATTCTGCTAAGTCTTGGACCTTACCTTATTCCTATAAAAACTTCTTTTCCTCAAATTAGAAATATTGAATGAGAAATGTTTCAAAGCTGCTCATCCTAGGTACCAAACACAACATCTTGAAAAAATAAGCTTATACCTTGATAAATAAGACATAACAAGCCTGTTTAAAACACGCAACCACATACATTTCAAATTTTCTAATTACGATTGATTTTTTGTGATTTACAAATATGCACCAGCAGACTACAAAAAGGGACTTTCAGAACCATGGTAACTAGTATGGAAATGAGGATGTACTTTCTGGAGATACTGACTTGATTGCTTTTCTCACAGAGGACCATCATGCATGGTGCTTTTCTTGAAAGGAAATTCACTCCTTCTCCTGTTTTAAGTTACATGCTGACTATAGCCTGAGTCCTTAAATATGTTTTCAAGTTTATCCATTTCAATTCTTCAGAATCAGAAGATTATGCATTTTGTGAATTAAATCTCCCCTTCAGTTGTATCTTTCAATTTTGATTACAAAAGCAGATGTTTGTAGGTTTGAAAGTTGCTAGTTCAACATTGTTGGGAAAGCAGGATAAACAAAATTACCAACTGCTCTGCATAAGAGGAGATATAAAAATCTCACAAGCATTAGCATTATGATGCACATTCTTCTTAGGAAAGCATCCCAAATTTGTTTCTTTAAAAGGCTTTAGGCATTTGACTGAATTTACTGCTAAGGTGATTTTTTTTTGCCAAGAATTTGTTTGACATATATTCAAATTTTAAAAACTATCATTGGAATACAACATCTCTAATTACCTCATAAGAAGAAAGAACATCTGTGTGTGTGTGTGTGTGTGTGTGTGTGTGTGTGTGTGTATTCCCTAGCAAATGTAGCATGCAACATTCAAATTCACTGGTAATCAAATAAATGCAAATTATAAAAGGTTAACATTTTTACCTATCAGTTGATGGTAAAATGCTGATGGCAAGCATATTATGTGAAAAGTACTGATGATAGG